AAGGCTGATTTACACGGTACGATTTGTCGCGCGCGACTTGTAGTATACGATTTTCCTACTACAAGTCGTAGGATTTTAAGCAGTGGTTCAAAAACCTACTACAAGTCGTAGGTTGCGTACGACTGTTGTAGACAAGTCGTAGGGGCATTTACACTGCGCGATTCAAGTCGTATACTACAAATCGCACGAGACAATCGTGCCGTGTAAATCAGCCTTAACAAATAACGGTATCAATGAAATGTCAGTATCAATGAACCAGATAGCAATCAAGGTGAATGAAAAAATGGTCCCATGTGGATTAATCTTCATTATGTTCTGGTTCATTGATACCGACAAATTGTCTCTAAATAGCCTCTATTTGTTAGTATTTAGTTTGATTTTATTTCAGGTTTTCCTGCGTTTGCCCTAAAAAACGCTTTTTGGGAAAGTTTGTCATCTATTAAGTCTTCAAACTTGCGGCGCAGGGTATCATGGCTACTTCAGTGATAATTTTATTGTTGTTTGCTGTTGTTGTTGTTGTTGATGATGATGTTGTTGTTGTTGTTGTTGTTGTACTTTGTAGAATGAAACAGTCATAAGCAACTCTCGCCATCAAATTTTCACTTTTGTCTTACAAGCCGCCCATATTTCTTGCGCCACTCTCTTGTACGGCTACTCGAGCGACAAAATCTCTCGAAAAGAGTGTATATCATACCGTAAAGAACGAACTAATATAAACAATTCATCGCATCCAATTCTTTTAGTCGTGCAAGTCTAAAGGAAAAACTACGAGCCAGCGAAGAACGACGGAAACAGATCGACAAACAACTCCACACCATGAAATCATCGATATCGTAGCTATTGACTATATACAGCAAATTGAAGAGATGTTGTCACAGTCGAAAGGTAGATTGAACGGCCCGTAGTGATGCATGGGATATCGGTAAAAGCACTTGAAATAGTCGGCTCTTGTTTTAACGACATCTAAGTGTTCTTTGTAAAGGGAGTTATTTTCAATAACTTCGATAGAATAGTTGACGAAAAGACAAAGAATGCCATTCAAATGAAGGCTGTCTCCTTTCCATCGCATCGTTTCAAACATATTTAGCGAAATATTTAATATTATGGTTTATCTTTTGAAAGTTGCAACATTTCTTCAGTTTTGTTTAACACAAAACAATAAAACACTAGCAAAAGTAACTTTATAACAATGTTGACATATATTTTGTCATTCCCCTAAAGCGAAGGTTCGATGTTAAATGTGAACAGAACCAAATGACAAAAAATGTTGATTATATACTCCTTCAGAAATCGCGCTTTGCGTTCAAAGGAAGAAGAACTCCACTTCAACTTCAATGAACACTTTAAAAAACACAAATTATTGCAAATTATATATCTTATATGTAGGCAAGTGTCTTTATTCACCGATATTTCAGGAGAAAAAAACAGTATTTCTTGCTAGTAATGACATAAAAGGTGTCATACTTCCAGTTCGAGTTCCTCTTCAATAATTTTGGTGTATAAATATAAGTTGGTTTGTTCCAGTATCGTTTTCATCAGGGTTAATTATATTCCTCTATCATGTTTATAATATATTACAAGGCAGTTTTATAAAGAATATTGATTGTAAATAAGTCAGTTGATTCGATTAAAAGAAATATGATTGGATGACGTTTATGGCTCCGGTGTTACTTGAATCCACTGATCCACGCGTACAATCCAACGCGAGTTTTAAAAAAATATTTTCTAACGTTTTCCCAGCTTTATCTACTAGAATTTTGATGGATTATTGTCAAACATAACATATATTTAGTAATTTTWCAATGGTCATTAGTCAATTTTTGTTCGTTCTTTCTCAATTTCATACGCTGAAATACCTGTTGCWACCAGACGTCCTCAACCAATCGCTGCAGGCAAAATTCCCTGGTGTCATGTCATCAACAAACATATTCAACTAAGATCATTGTTTAGGCGTTGTTTTGTAGAACATAGCTGAATTCTAGCGAAGACCCAATTTTAACAACGAAGCTGAACCAACTATGATTTTATGTGACTTAATTCCAAGATTCAAACACTATGAAGAAGTTGCAAGTATCCTGTGGCTTTTGTTCCACCTATTTGGTATCGCCGCGAATCTTTATGCCTATTACATGCTGAAAAAGAGGTGGAATTCGCTGGGAAACTTCCCAATTCTTCTTGCCTCAAGCATTCTGTCAAATATCTCTGCCCTCTTCGTCCATCTATACTTGCCCATGAACTTCYTGCTGAGAAACCTCACCGAGAAGGAGTGGAGCTTAGGAAAGTTCGGCTGTTCATTTTTACCGGCTTTTACTAACTTAACCCAAGCCATTTCGCTAGCAGCACTAGTGGCGGTTGCCTTTCAGAAGTATATCAAGACGGCGAAGCAAAGAGACATAACCAGCAGTGAAGCTGAAAACTCAATGGTGYTAATGTTTGTACTTGCGTCCCTAATCGTAGCTCCAGAGTTCTGCCAATGTGGTGCCGTGAAAGAACCATTGACAACYGAAGGWTTATGCATTCCAACTTGGCAGCTGTCATATGCAGGGAATCTTTATCAGAATTTGAGAGTACTATTTCAGTATATTGTTCCTTTGGCTTTCGCTACGAATGCGTTCTTCAAAGCACAGATTGCACCAAGGAAAATGACTTGTATTTATCGCGTTCTTTTCATCGTTGTTGATTGTATTTCAGGTGCTTGCATAGGATTGTATGTTTATTTTTTTCCTCTAAAAACGATCATTCTAGGCGAGGAAGAGTTTAATGTACAAGGCTATGGCGTCTTTCCGAACATTGCTGCCATGATGAAAACGATGGATTTTGTTGCCATATTCTGTTGCATTGCCGTTCCTTTTGAGCTTGTTGAAATCATGAATGATGTCAAGATGGCCGATCATCGTCACCAATATCAAGTTGAATACAGCGAAAAACCCGAAAAAAATTACACGGAAAAGCTTCAAAAGTATTCTTATGGTAAAGGTTTTGACGAAATGAAAGTTTCCGCCAAAGTGGTGATCATGTTAAAGCAAGAAAAGGAATCGAAAGAGGAACTTATCAAACGTCTTGTAAACGATGAGCCGTTGAAACTTAAAAATGAAATAATTGTGTAGACTTTATCGTAAACTCGCTGCTGTACAAAAAATATACTGGCGATTCGATTAAGTAGACCGTTAAATGTGGGTATTCATTTTGGACAAATTGAATTATTGACTCTTGACGTCATCATTGAGTGACATCATTTGCAAAACGTCATACACATGACGTCATTGAAAAAACTATTTCTTATACCTCGTAGCGCAAAAATGGAAATATTATAAGGGAATTTTCACATTAGCAAATCGTAAAAGGAATCATAATGTATTAAGGATAAGCACTATGTCTTATTTTACGCAACATAGAAATTTAAAGAGTAGTGTGGACTAAATAGATCGGTTTTCATAACCCGTAATGGTGTGATAGTGCGCTAATAAGGTGCATTAGTTTCACGCTTTTATCCGGTGAATCACTGTAATAAGAAATTGAATAATGTTGAGTTAAATTCAAAAAAAATACAAGATACAAAAAKCCCTGAGCTTCTCTCGCAGCAGTGTTGCTGTAGAAGTCTGGTGTCGATGTTTCTCGTTTTTCACCTTGTCTGGACAACTTTTCGCGCAACACAAACTATAGAATTGCACAATTCGGGCTCTCTTTTACTCCCAGGAGTGGATGAATGTGGCTTTCTGTACGGGAGATACGGAACGAGCGTAAAACGGACTTTTCGCCGAAAGTATACACAAAACAGCCAATGTACTGAACACTGCAAACTCCAAAACTTGCAGTGTGTTGCACGACAAGTTTCCGAGTTTTTACGTATTCCTCAGCCTTAATTTAAATCATTTCTTTAATGCACTTCTATCAAAGCAAGATTCAAAGCACCAGCGAAAATAAACGGAATTACGCTAGTAAAATTGTTTTASTTTTGCGCTTCTGCGAATTAGTAAATGCGACAAAGATTAATTTGTGGAATAATTGCCTGTAGCTTACCTTTGCGTCATTAATAAACAAACTGAATTACCGGCTGAACACCCGGGTATGTAGGTTAAAGGTAGCGGAATTGTTGAGGTCGAACAAGAGAAATAAGTTTTAAATTAAATGCRTTGACTCCGTTTGACGAGATTATTTKTATGCCGCAATTCGTCGCAATGTACATGCAATGTATGTCGCAGTTCAGTGATTGCACGTGCACACGTGCAGAATGGAAATATTGGGACGTAAATCGAACTTGTGGTAAATGAAAATGTGAAGTAATAAAAGAAAACTGGGTTTAAAAGAAACAAAAGGAACACAAGAATATTTTTCTATTTTATTGCGACAGTTTTGTGCAAAAGACAGTTCTATAAAAATTCAAAGCATGTTTTATATTCCACAATTACACGACATATAGTTAAAAACAACAATGACAACTTTTTTAGATTAGACTGGTTCCACAAGCAGCTCCAGTTTGCTACTCAAATGTACTTCTGTTTGCTGATTATTACAAATGGCTTTTTGCAAAAAGAACTGGCATAGACCAAAAAAAATAACAAAGTGTAGAATAGTAAAAAAAATTACATTTTTATGTAGCGAAAAAAATATGTACAGTTCCTTTTTGTTTAGAATTATTAGCTTTTAGCCTTAATTACACCTTTTTCTACGTGTGCTTTCCATTTGTCAGAACTGGCTGGCCAGACCCAGASAAAATGTCATTATATATCATTCCTATTTAGTTAGGAAATTCAMATTTTCAAATTCTATCCATTATTCTATAGAAAACCTCAAAATGACTGAAAAATGTTGACAAAAAGCATTATATACCTCTAAATAGAGTGGACTGGCYGGCCAGTTCTGCCTAAATGGAAAGCACCCTAYGTCTAAATGTTTTGCAGTGCAATGAAAATTACTCTATTACCAAAACCACAATATTTTCATTGTAAATTCAATCCTTTTGAGAATTAGTAAAGCAAATGACACGTAGATTACAAAAAAGTGGCCAAAGCATTCTGGTCTTAGTAGAATGCGACGTCACTGTGAATATAGGCCTTCACACACACCTTGTTTTAGTACTGAAGCTATTCTAAATGTAATCATACTATCAAGAACTTACAGAAGTCAAATCATAATTAGTAAAACCTTACTTTTAGTAAATTCCTGGTTTGATTAATGCTCAATTTGTGATCATTCTTGAGACAGATCTTAYCTGACTACAAGATGTCAGCAATTTTTGGCATTTCAAGTTCAACTAAAATGTTATAAAATTCCCCTATCGTGCTATTTCTCTTTGTTTCCCAATGCTTYAAWACCTCATCAGCAGGATTTCTAAATCGCTCATTAAAGAAATTCATTGTTGCATTGTCTATTCCTAGTCGTCCAGCAAGACACTTCCAATTATCTAAAAAAAATCAAATGTATCACATTAGAAGTCGTGTTTCAGGGACCACGCACGCAACAGCCTTTTCTCATTGCCAAGTATTTAAAAATTTCCATATATTTGATGCATTTGATATGCACTCGCTGCCCCTCAAAACGCTGGAAATGGCATTTTCGAGAGTTATAATTTCAAACCTTTTTGGGGGGGAATGCTCAGAACCCCCTAATTAATCCCGCCTTTGGAGATCGTAGGCCCCCCCAATCAAAAATATGTGACGCAGCCCCTGTGTTTTCACAGCAGTCTCAGAATTTGTCCTGCTTCCGATTGGTAAGCGATTACTTGTTGGGAACAGCAAAGAGACTCTGCTAGCCAGGAAGGTAGGTACTTTCATATTTTATGCAAGCACTAACAATTTAAAAGTTTAATCAAAATACAATGACCTAGAAGGTTTGACCATTAGTTACTGTGGATGTGACAAAGTTTATCAAGTTGATAATACAAATGTCACTTTACCTCCTGTTGTTAATTGTATAGTCAGTTTACTTCTAACTTTGTACGGCATGTCTCTTACATTCATATTATCAGCTAGCAGAGGTCCTGCAAATACAATACAGTATAATATACGAAAAGGATTACAAGAAGATTTATCATTTTACWACGYGTATTCAAACTATATGCCCAAAAGAATATATTTACAGTATAATATCATTTAAACAATGTTAAACAAGTTACTGAAAAATCTTATAAACTCAGCAATCAATTTCTTCAAATTTTCAGATAGTTGCTTAATATAGTGTTTTAAAAAACTCATACATAATTAATGAGCTACTAGGCCAATAGAATGAGGCTATTTGGTCACATGCAATATAAAGAATACTAATAAGGGTGACCTTTATCAGATACAAAGGTCCATGACCCTAGCAAAGGTCTCAGGTTTGAAAACCTGATCATTGACCAATGCAGGATGTCAACTGATTTCAGTGAACAGCCAAGAGCGGTTCTATTTTACTTTATGCGTATTCAATGTGGGATGACAAGAGTGCTTTGTAAAGTGATTCGCGCATGATCAGTTTTCCCCATTTATCTCTGAACATATTTGTACGGCAATTTCTCCAAGAATTTTAACGGATTTGAGTTTCAAATTAGTGTTGGAGTTTTTTAAGCCTTTAAAACACTCGAGATCGTGTTTTATCAAGATTCCCGCCTTCGTCTCGAGTCTTTATAACTGATAAAACGCTCTCTCTCGTGTTTTAAACTATACATAAGSTCTTGAGGAGTGATCTTCTTGTGTTTAAAATCCTACTTATTTTGATTTATGCAATATTAATTCCACTAACGTAAAATGGTACAAACCTGTAACGCCACCAGGAAGGTTTTCTTTCATCCATTTTATTGTTTCTTTTAAATTTTTCTCTCTCAAGAGCCTGGTGATCTCACGGATTGGACAGTCCTCTTTACCAAAAGTGATASTTTCTAGGTTGGAGTTTTGSYTGATTTCCAATATAATTTGTTCTTTGAGATTTTGTACAATGGCTGGGTTTAAGTCATGTAGCATTTTAGGCACAGGTACAGGGCTTATTTCTTTAGCTGGAACTAAACAAAAGTCAATATTCTTGTGAACATTGGAATTATATTTACAGCAAAATTAGCTGCCATTTTGTTGTTTAGACATATGAATGTGCASTGAGCTTCTCCCCAGTGTGGAATAAAGGCTGTYATATGCACAAATTATTATACAAAGACTTAGTATTATTCCCATATTTATTACTTGAAACTTGAAGATTCTGCATTCCTTCATTGATATCAGTCATCTTTGATGGCGCATCTGTKGCATCTCCATTTGAYGAGAGGACGTTTTCCAGACAGCTTAAGCTATGAGTCAA